CTTCTATTAATAATTTGGACTTGAGTCCTGAAGAAGAATTGTGTATATTTACGATAGGAACACATCGCAACTCGTATTGCAGCATGCCCATAATTTATTCAAAATGTAAGCCAATCTCCGTAACACGGTTGATTTAGTAAACCTGAAGAGTATGCACCTGAGTGAAAGACGTGTATCTTTGTTTCTATTAATAATTTGGACTTGAGTCCTGAAAACGAATTGTGTATATTTACGATAGGAACCCAACGCAACTCGTATTTCAGAATTCCCATAATGTATTCACAATTTATGCCAATCTCCATAACACGGTTGATTTAGTAAACCTGAAGAGTATGCACCTGAGTGAAAGACGTATATCTTTGTTTCTATTAATAATTTGGAATTGAGTCCTAAAGAAGAATTGTGTATATTTACGATAGGAACCCAACGCAACTTGTATTTCAGCATGCCCATAATGCATTCAAAAGTTAAGCCAATCTCTGTAACAAGGTTGATTTAGTAAACCTGAAGAGTATGCACCTGACTTTAGGGATGATAGACTCAAGTTTTGTTTGTTTAACCAAAATCATTCATCTCTTTGTTATGAGTTCATGAGTTCGGTGCAATTTGAGACCGATGAAGCTGACTTTAGGGATGATAGACTCAAGTTTTGTCTGTTTAACCAAAACCATTCAATAACCAAAAATCCATATCCGATAACACTGCTTTCGGCCATTCACTATGGACAAAGATGACCGGGGAAACAAAATTTAGCTCCTCCCAACTGTACATTAGTCATGTCCAACACCCCATCCTCCGATTATTCTTGAAATTTCTTGCCAATTGCTTGCTTGGTCGTCCAACAACCATCAGGCTAGGATGGGGGATGTATGCTTGATGTTTGTATCCCTATTCCGTGTTCATGTGGACTTCAATCTGTGCAATCTTATGTGGGCACATCTTAAAAAGGAGAGCGCAGCCAAGGGGGCTATTGTTGTGGGTGGGGTAATTATGCACTTGGCCACCAAGTTCGGGTATACGGATAACTCTCCTATACCCGACTATTGTTTGATGAATATCTCCTGGTTAGGCCATTCGGGATGTACAACCTTTTCCCATACAGTTTATGGTGGTGAACGACCAAAAAACATGTATAACTGGCTCATACACCCCAAGCCTCTCAAATACTTCCTCTTACCTAACCAAGAACTTCCCAAACTGCGCTACAAAGAAGCGATAGAGGTGCCCCATTACATATTCCTACATGCCCTTCCACCGCATATCCAAGAACCGGAACAAGAGCCTCCCCAATACCAACCCGAGTACGAGCCTTATGCTAAACCCCGTGGTCATGAAGACATGGACGCAGACATCCCCGAGCAAACTCAAAACCCTCCACCACCCGACTTCTTCCAACAACTTTTGGAGGGTCAACAACAACTGCTTGCGGGGTACAATCAAATGAACACAAACTACATGGCTATGGGAGAACGGCTCAACCAAGTGCAGGAGGAGAAAAGGGTCGGTTTTCAACGGATGGAGGAGCTCCGGGAAGCCGACAGACATCGGCATGAAGAAGATCAACGTAGGTTCTACGGACCTATGTACTTTTACATGGCCCAGCATGGATCTTTTCAGACCATGGCGAACCCCCCTCCACCACCCTCGTGGTATATATGACCCCATTCATTGGGGTAACTTTGGAGGATCTAGCTCCAGGGGTGGAGGGTACAATGGAGGAGATGGCGGGGACACATACATGGGAGATGGCGGGCAGGGGAGCGGCTTCGGAGGAAGCTACTACGGCGGAGAAGGCGGGCACTAGGGACAGTGCTTGGCCTAAGTGTGGGGGAGAGACTATTATGGTATGCATTTTCATTTATTCCCTTTCACTACGCATGAATTTCTTTTACCATTGGTATTCAAAAAAAAAAAGAAATGCTAGTTAGGTTAAAAACCCAACAAAATGGGCAATCTAAGCAAAAAAGGCTTATAAAAAAATGAGTGAGTTGGGGAGAATGGAAAATGAAAAGAGATGTTAGGATGAAAACCTGAAAAGGTAAGCCTCCTAGGCAAAATGAGAGAAATGAGAGAAATATTTGTTCTTGCAGGCACTCATTTCATCTCCTTGGAGGAAAAGAAGAGTCGAGAAGAAGAGGAAGAAGAAGAGAAGAGGAGAAGAGAAGATGAGCACTAGAAGGCCATAAAACCCAAGATAATATTTGTAAATTGAACTTAAGACTCATATTTTATCATTGGTGGTCTTTGTGCTTTTATCTTGTAAAATTGTTGAAACTTTGGAAAACTTAAACACTTGTGAACATTTGACTTTACTCGAGGACGAGTAAAGAAACTAAGTGTGGGGGATTGATACACTTGTAATTTCCATTTGTATGTTTGTATTTTTGATTAGTTTTGATTGATTTTTACTTGGGAAATTACACACTTTTGGTGTAATAGTTTAGTTTGTTAAATTCTTGTAAATTGTTTAGATTAGGTTTATTCTGAGCTCAAACAGGTCTTGATCAACTCAAAAGATAGTTGGTGAAACCCAAAAGTGGAAGGAAGGTGCAAAAATCAAAAGAAAGAAGATCCTGATTTTCTGGTCTATACCCGGTCGAGTATGACCTATACTTGATCGGGTATCTTGTTGAAATCTCAAATCGGATCATATCCGAAGACAAAGGATCATGCAGAGAAGATTCGGACCACGATCGAATGTCCATACCCGATCGGCTACACCGACACACCCGATCGGGTATCCCTTTAAATACAAACCCGAACTCGGTCGAGTATGCCCCGGATCTGAAGTTATAAGCATACTCGACCGGGTACTAAGGTATACTCGATCGGGTATGCTTATAAAATTTTCCCTTTGATGGATCGAGTATACCTCGAATTTGAGGTATTATACATACCCGATCGGGTACCTTGCATATACCCGATCGGGTACCCGAGCTGCATCTCAAAAGCCTATAAATACACCTCCCTTCCTTCACAATTAGATATCCAATTCCTTTATACATCTAAGCTCAGTCTAGAATAGTTCTTTCTTTATATTTTTCATCATGTTTAGTCTTCAAATGAGGAGCTAAACTCTTCCATCTTGGTTTTGCTACTTTGAAGCTTAATGAATTTGTAAGTTGTGAGTTATTTTCTTTAATCTTCTTCCTTGAATATTAATTCTTCCTTTAAAATACTATTTCTATATCAAAGTTGGGGAGTGTTACTAAGATGACAATTAGTTAACATCTTGACATTGGTTATAGTAATAATTATTTCTTCCTCTATGTTAATATTGGGGAGTGTTACTAAGATGACAATTAGTTAACATCTTGATTTTAGATATAGTAGGATTCATATTCTTTAATATTCTTCCTTGAGTATTAATTAATTCCTATTCATATTTCATGTTAATATTTTGAACATTACTTAAAGTATCAACTAGTTTTGTTTCTTATATTAATTATTACTAGAATCAATCGGTTAATACGCTTGTTATTAATCCGGTTCTTTCAATAGTAGTAAACTTGGATTATTAATGCATGCATCTCATGGTTAATATGCCAAGGGAAATTAATTATATTGATTAAACCAATAAACCGCTTGTGTTGAGGTTGTCAATCTCAATCGTTTTCATCTTACGTTTATTGCTACTATCAAGTTAATATACGGTGCTTGTTCTATATTGACTCGATAGTAAGTTTTATTAATGAACGCATCTCGTTATTAATAACTACCCTCGATGAACTGGATATACTCCTCGATTGAGTATTCGAGAGGAAAATAGTTAATGATATAACCGGGATCGACAAACATTTCATTAAGTGGATAAAAGCAAAACCAAGTCCTCATCTCTACTAATTAAACCACATAAGTCGTTCATCTTAGTGTTAATTAAATTAAATTAAATCAAACTCAAAACCCCTCCCTTTGTTACTCATTATATAAAAGAAAAGTATTCCTTTCCTTGTGGATACGAACCTTACTTCGTTATACTACGTATAATCGTTGTATTGTATTTATTTTGAGTGCACCTCACGACAAGTGCACGTCAATATAGTAAGTACACTCATTAACTATTGGCTTTGTTGAAACATATAGCAAATCGTTATGCATCACGCGGGTAAAAATTATACTCCCTCCGTCCCATTGGACTTTGACAATTTTTCCTTTTTGTTATCCCAAAAAACTTTGTCACTTTCCAATTAAAGTAACTAATTTGTGGTTTTGCACATTTCTCTCTTATCTGCTTAAATCCCAAACACACAGTTTTTTACTTTTCTTATTTCTCACCTACTTTGCACTTGGCAAAGTCCACTGGGACGGAGGTAGTATATGGAGAAGGTTGAAAGTTATCATACCTTGTTTTTATCATCAACTAATTACATACATGTGTTTATCATACCAATTAAGTTTGTTGTTTAAAGAGCTATGGTGTGGTTGAAGTTCTTATTTTAAATACTCACAATGAACCACTAATCAATTGATGAGATCATGAGTATTGTGTACAAAAAATGCTCTAAGTTTTTGTTTGAACTGAAATTTTCTAGGCCCGGGACCGGTTTAGTTCTAGTTATAAATTATTAGAATCGTTTTTAAAAAATGTAATTTTTAAAATCGGTTCGATTCTAATAAAAAAAGCAGAACCAGTTTAAAACCGAACAAGGTTTAAACGGTTCGGTTCCGGACTTTTTTCGGTTCCTAAAAATAGTGTAGTATTTCTAAAAACGAACACAATTTAATTTTTTTGAATGAAAAAAATTCTTTCATCAATATCAAATTGTCCAGAACTAGTACATCTAGGCAAAAATTATTCATATATACAAGATTTGACAAAAGGGTTCATTCAAGTGTGAAATGATCCGCTCATTATTATATAAAGCTGTTTTAAGGTCTGAATTTTTCAATTTGCTAGAAGCTGATTGCAACAAAGCAAATTACATTCAACCCGTTGGCTCAAAAACTGAAAGCAGATTATTAAACCTTTCCCAAGAACTAGCTATAAGCTGATTTATGCTCTCTGTTCAACATTTTTTTTTAATTTGTATCATTGCTATTCATTAGAGGCATGGTTTATACATAGTTACATGAAGAGAATTTCTCTCTAGCAATTATCCTATGCTAATCTTTGAAAGTTTAAACAAATAAATTTACATCAAGGGAAAAATATGATTTCACAGATAGCTGCACGCCTAAGAATGTTAGCCCGAACCAATGCATATGTGTAGCCAGCCATTACTGCTTCGGGTTATTTGAGAAGGCTTTTCTTCATTGCGGCTGCTTAAGACCACTCACTGCCTTTGTGAAAAAAATGTTAGGGTGAGACCACACCAACAAAGGCCATTGGGAGTAAAATGTCTCTAATCATACACAACCTACGCTGGCTGCCTAAGCATCTGTTGTAGCTGAAGGACTTGCTCTCGCTGATCCGGGGGCAATGAACTTAACTGTTCTGGAGTCAGACTCATCACTTGTTGCAATAAGGTTGACTCCACATCTGGGGTCAGCTGAAGAGGAGGATGTTTCTCAGAGCTTGAAGCCTCTTCTGTTCTGGAAATATGTTTTCCAGATACGCTAGCTATCCTTGAAGGTCTGGTTACCAAATTATCCACATTTGATTCTCCTGATGGATAGGAACTCCTTCCATCATTTAGTTTTGACAACTTTGATGGGTGATTCATCGCATCCGTACTGTCATTTAGCATTCCAGCTCTCTCCGGAAACCCTGAAGTTTGAATTGGTTTCTTGAGCCAAACAGAACTCTTACCAGATTGGGTGTCAAGAGGACGCTTATTAATGTTGTCAGGAGTAGCAGACAATACCGAGGAACCTGGCTGAAAAACTTTTTCAGTAGGTGGTGGATGTGCTAATGAAGAAGGTTGAAATGCAGCATTAGGTGCAGCAGGTTGGCTAGTAAAGACTAAATTAGCAGGACGAGTAGGCAACAAAGGATGTCGCATTTGCTGCTTCAAAGAGGATGTGTCACCCTGAATCTGAGGGATAGCAGTCAAATTACCCTGAGCGCGAATATGTGCTGGCAATCTCCCATGTAGCAAATTGTTGTTTTCAGTCAACTGTGGGTGTTGGACGTGAGAACCGTGGAGAGGGGGGGCAGCCCCGGGAAGCATTTGAATTGCTAGTTGTTGGTTGTGATGATTGTCAGGCAACACAGACTGCGGTGGAGGAACAGATGATGGCCGAATATTAGGCACCTGTAACATTTGAGGAGAAACCAGTCCAAGCATTAGTTGTGCCTGGAAAATTGCTTTAGGCAAGTTAGGAATTGTATGTAATAGTTGACGGGCATGTTCCTTGTTTCGTGTTGCTATAGCCTTCATATCAGAAATTATTTCATACAGCTGACTCCTTGACATTTTAGAAAGGTATAAAGGATCAATGCCAGATCCAAACTGAATCTGTAAGCCTGTCTGCCCCAATTGAGCCGCTCCAAGAGCTCCAGCCATGACGGTGGCAGCACTTGTAGCTATCGGGTGTCCAATTGGCTGGTGTAAACTTGAATTTCCAATAGCGGATGGCCCCCCTAAATGTCTTTGAGGATCAGCAGCTGCACCAGGTCCACCACGACCTTGTTCACGGTTTTTGTCAGCATTTTTATCATTCTCAGCAAAATCAACTCTTAACTGGCGACCATTAATCTCATATCCCTGCAGATTACGGCGAGCACTGAGGGCAGTTTCCTCATCCTTGTATTCACAAAATCCATAACCCTTGGGTTTTCCAGTTTCTCTGTCAGTTACTAATCTGAAGGAAACAACAGGGCCAACCACCTCACAGATTTGAACTAGCTGTTCTTCAGTAGCATCATAAGGTATATTTCCAACAAAAACACAACGGCATTGAGAATCGGGATTCGCCATGTACAACTACAATCAGAAGTTAAAGAGATTCAATTTCTTTCTTCCCATTGTTCCTCCAAACTATTCCTTTCCATTAACGCATCTAATATATTTCCCGATCTTATCCGGATTTGCAGAAATTCCTTTGGAATGAACTATTATTGGCAATCAGCGGGAAATTGGGTCTCCAAGTTTATGTATGGCGGTCGTTGGCGAAGACCGGAAGAGAGGGCAGTAATGTTCCCCTCGCCGGAAAACCAACGATGATTCCCCGGGAACCCTAGCTCTCTCCTACTTCCTGCGCGTCACCAGTTTCGTGTCGACTGTGTCCTCTTTGTCCGCACCTTAAATTCCGATCCTCGTCGCCTTCCGCACTCTATCTGTGCTGGTTGTTCAACACAATTCAACTTATTAGCTCAAAAAATGAAAGCACATTATAAACCTTTCCCAAGAATTGCTCAAAAACTGAAAGCACGTTATTCAACATTCAATTTGATAGAAGCTAAATTATGCACTATGAGACAAGAAACATATAATGTCCGTTATTTTATACTTTTAACGTCGGTTCCAGAACCAACGTGTAAGTGAGAGACATTATAGGTTACACCCTATAACGTCGGTTATAAAACCGACGTAAAAAGTTACTTTCCACGTCGGTTTTGTAAAAAGACGACGTTACATATATTTTCGAAAAAAATAAAATAAATACATGTTACATCGGTTATTTAACAAAACCGACGTTGAATATAATTTCAAAAAAATAAAAAAAAATACATATTACGTCAGTTCTCTCAAAAAACTATCGTTAGACGTAGCTTTTTTAGAAAAAAAATATACATGCACTATGTTGGTTATTTTAAATAACCACCGGTGGTTTCCCAAAAGGTCTGAATATTCAAACACATTTACCAAACTGAATACAAAAAAATATTTGCAGACAAAGTATTTAGAATATCAAAACACATATACACATCTACACATCTACGTAGAGGCTAGAAGGAAAATCGCATGTATATCTCTACATGAAGAAAACTTAAAGTCTAAATACAATTGAATGGTTCTCAAAGATCTGCTGAAAGTTGTTATTCTTATATCCCTATAAAATGATGCTCTTGTTAAAGACCTGCAAAACAGAAAAAAATTTCAACTTAGTCAACACCTAGAAACACCTCAAGATTAACCTAGAAACAATCAACATATCATATCAACTTAGTCAACAACAAACATGGCTAAACCTCAACATTTCAAAACACCTAACATCAAACAAATACTTACATTTTCAGCTTCCATGTTTCAAATTCAAGAATTTAAACTCAAGAATTTAAACTCATATAACGTACAAACAAAACAAAAATGCAACTATTATCACCAGGAAACTTTTAAGTAAATTAAGTTGTTTATTATACAGAAAATGGCATATGTAATTATGTACCTTATGAGTGTCCCTACAGGGAGTTGACGGTTATTTTAAGTGGCATATGTAAATTAAGTGGTTTATGTAAATTAAGTGGTTTATTATACAGAAAAATATAGACGCACTATGATTGTTATTTTAAATAACCACCAGTGTGTTGTTACTTTTTCCATAAAGGTATAAATTTAGAATATCAAAATACATACTACAAGTCTACAAAACTAAATACAAAAAAAATTACAAATACAGTGTGTATACAATTGAATACAATTGAATGCTTCCTCTTAAAGACCTGCTGAAAGTGGCTCTTCTTGTATCTCTGCAGGAAGTGCTCTCGTTAAAGACCTACATAAAAGATTAACATACAAGTAAGTGCTACACAACAATAGAAAATTACACACACCTGCCTTTCAATGATATATCATGGTTGAAGCTTCCTATATCTCCAAGGCTGTAATAAAATTCTCAAAACACCTCAACTGAAATCAACTAAATCAATGGAAAGATGCAGAATACTGTTAACAAAGAAGCCAAGTAGGCACACTAGCTATTGTTTTAACAATCACAGAATCAAATGAATTACCAAATAGAGTATAACATTAATCAATTAAAGAAGCTAGGACTAATTCCATTAAAAAAAAAAAAAAAACCTGGAAACGATTCGATACTTTACCACTAATATTATTATAGAGCCTCTTCATTATCCATCTCAATTTCTTCCACAAAACAATATGCAGAAAGATTTCCTGAAAATCAATAGACATTTTTAATAGACAGACCAACAATCATTTTTAATCCTGAAAATGATTCACTACCACCAAAGGATTGTCTTGGACCCTGTCAATCCCACACCGGCAATATCTGTTTCATCAAGGCATCAATGCTCCTCATAAAATATATAGAATTTCAAAAGCAGTTATTTTAACTTCCTATTCATCCATCTTCTCAAGTATCAATCATACATAATACATTTATGTTCTTTTCTGCCTATAATCTGCTTGATACATGACCATTGATAGATAACTATGATTTTTGCAAGAATGCTAAGTAATAGTATAATAACAAGACATAATGTTGAAGCGGAGTAAGGAGATCGACATATTTAGCAGACTTTGAGCCCAAGAGAGGGGATTCGAGCGCAGAGAAAGGAGATGACGGGAGAAGGGTTTGTTCAATTGCCATCGGATTATTCTTTCTTTTGTAATTATTTTAATTTTAAACAACTTCAGCGGCCCGTGCTAAAATTCGAACATCTATCACGGCAGTTTCACTTAAACCCCACGGGGTCTACGAAAATTTAATCTATTTATATATAAGAAAAGAGATACCGTACGTGTTGCTCATCCCACTTTTCTCTCATTTCTTATTCTGATGCCACATGGCTTTCTATTCTCCTAAGTTGATGTGCGTGCATGGAGAAAATCGCAAGGCGCTGCTTAAAAATCGCAAGGTGTTTGGATTTGATTCTTAAAACTGCTTCTGCTCCTTCAGGGAGCAGAAGCAGAAGTTAGAGTGTTTGGGTAAAAGTGCAGAACTGATTCTGGTGCTCTAATTTGCTCCTAGAATCAGTTTTTTAGAAGCTAGGGGTGACAAGCTTCTAAAAACAGATTCTGATTCTGTTTCTGCTTTAAAAAAGAAGCAAATCAGAATCAGTTCCAAACACCCCCTAACTCCCAAAAAAAGCTTTCCATCATGCGATTTTAACGTCCTGCGATTTCAACCCCCTGCGATTTCAGACTGATTGGTCCGTTTAGAACTCTCCATCTCAATCGTGTGCGATAATATAGCGCCGGCTCTTCACCTAAACTAGGAAACCTCCAAATTACAATGCCCATTATATATATATATGCGGATCGACATTAGGGCTTCATACTTTCACTGCCCCAGTGCCAGAGGTACTATCTCTATCTAATTCTTCATCTCTTCAATTATCCTTTCTGTAATCTAATACTCTACTACGTAATATTATTGCAACTTTATGAAACAAATCTTTTTCTTGAGTATTATGGTGTTCTGAGGTTATCAATTCCCAAATTTCTTAAAACAATGTTGTCGCCTTCAAACACAATTTTTATGCTTTTATCGGCTCAGTTTATAGTCCAAAGCATATAAGATAAATCAAAACATATAAGGTGTTCGATGAAATGTTTATATGAGAAAAGCATATTAGTGTTTATAGTTCACTTTATCAGTTTTAGGTTTTTAGTTTACATGATATGCAAGTTGGTTAAATAAGGGGATTTGATTATACTAAACTAGAGTTTTAGTTTTTTTTAGTTTACTTATACACGGTTGGCTTACTAATTACTATATTTTTGGCTTAAATATATTTAATCCTGCAAATGAAGCATTGTTCCTTTATAATTTTGTTATCACCCTTGCATTTTTGCCATCGCAAAAAAAAAAGGGTGCCCAAGTAGCAGAGGTACTCTCTAATTCTTCATTTCATCTATTTTCACGATTCTCTCTGAAAGTAGCTTCAGTCCAGCTTTGATTATATTTTGCACATGTGTTGTTTGATAAATGGTTAAGTGTGTGCATCACTTATTCTGTAATTGAGTTCATGGAAATAGGAAACCCGGGAATTTTATTCAATTCTCAGTCTTCCTGATTTTAAACGTGGTGATGTATGGACTGATTCCCAAGAATTAGTTCCATATCCAAAACGAGGTAATCATAAACCAAAAAACATAATAAAATGAAATAAAAGTGGAGAGCTGTGGATTGAATGACCTGGTGAAAAACAGGCCTTTCTGATGGAGAGGGGAAGCTGAGATGGGAGAGGGGATGCTTCTGTTTGTGAAGAATTTGAATTTCTTGATCCCAACTTCTCTACAAAGCTCTGCATCTGCTATGATCACCAATGGCTGCCTCCCCATATGGAACCTTTATAAAAGATACAACCTTTTTTAACAATCTTATACAGACCCCTTACTAATGCATTTTCTCTTCTTTACAGTTCAAATTTATGATCTGTTTGTCTATTCTAAATTTCTTAACACTCCGTTTCAAGCAGATTGTTTCTAAACATCATTTAATATTTCAAATTAAAGGAACTTATGCGAGAAAAAGATTTTACTCTTTTACATTAGTATTATGATGTACTAATTTCTTGCTCTTGCTTTCATTAAAAAACGATTGCTATGTCATCTCTTCTCCTCTATGTGTATTCTTATGACAATTCTCACTTATTTAATTTTATGATACTTCCCACTTATAAGTTTTTGTTTAATATATGGAGTCTACTATGTTTTTATTCTTGAGTTGGTGGCAAGAGCATTTGCAAATCTAATCTAAATTCAAACAATGAATACAACATTAGCCAGGCAGTTTCATAGAGCAAACTTATGTGTATCGAAGGCCCCTATGTGTCTATACTCTATACATCCTGTTCCAATTTGCCCTAAATTTCATACGAACCAACTATAGAAAAAAGTGGTGTTCATTTGGCAATACCATGTGAGTATTTTTGAATTCAGTAAAACAGATCAATACAACAAGAAAATTTGCATTTAAAAACAGAAAAAGAAAGTTATATTGTATAGTTGGAGCAGTGAAGAACGATCCAAGCCAAGTTTTCCCTGCAATTTCTTATATGCTTAATTTTTTCCTAGGCATTCTCTTTTGTTTTGTTTTATCATTTTCTTTTCTGTTCATGCATGTCAATTTCTGTTTAAAAAATGAGGAGTATATATTTTGAGCTAGGCGAAGAAGGAAGCCGCAAGGAACTCTAATCGGTGTTTGGACTGAGCTTTTCTTTTTTAAGTAGGTCACATGTGTGTCAATATGTAAAGTGGTCATATTTTTGTCCATTCAAAGTGTGTAGGCAATATTTTAGCCATTTTTTCTTTTTAAATCTAGTGCTCTTATGTTCACTCCCACTCTATATGATTGATGTCTTTTTTTTTACTCCAGTGGGGCTTGGAGTAATCAGGGCTGAAACTCACTCCATTGAGTTTCAAACCCTTTTGTGCCTAGCGGGTTTCGAACTCGAGACCTCCCACTAGGCACGGTAACCTCGCAACCAGCTGAGCTGGAATGCTTGGTTCTATATGATCGATGTCTATTTTTTGCATTTTTCTTCAGGTTGGTTTTACTTTAGTTTATTTTTGAAATGTACATCCTCCAAATAAAAGTTACATGTGAATTTGAAAAGTGGTTTACTGCTTCCTTTGCTCGGTAGCTTTGAAGAGTTTACTTCTAATCATTTTCTACACAAGGACGGTTTCTTACTGATACCTTCTTAAATCTTTATTTTTAGATTTGGGATGTTATTGACACTTTTACTCACTGCAAATGTCGCGCTTGATCTAATCTTAAGTAAGTTTATAAGCAAATTATGATTCTGAGTTTGTTTGTAATATCTATTATTGCTTCCTAGAACTTTATATGGAGATTTGGAGGTAATTGACACTCTATCTATTTGTTGACACTCTTTTACTCACCGGAAATGCCATGCTTCAACTGATCTTAACTAAGTGTATAAGCAAGTTATGATTCTGAGTTTGTTTGTGACACTTTATTATCTATGAACCGTTTGTAATAATTGCTTCCTAAAACTTTATATGGAGATTTGGAGGTAATTGACACTATCTATTTATATATAAGAAAGGAGATACCCATGTCATTCATTTTTCTACCCTCGAAAATCCACGTGTCCTCTCTTGTGTTTCTTCTGACATGTCAAATCAACCATACTTTTCGCTCCTCCGAATCATTTTTTACTCCGAATCATTCTTCATTACTCACTTCCATTTTCAAATTCAATTACCCAGGAGCCAGTAGGTTTACGATTGTTATAGAAATAACATCCAAATCAATTTGCTCTCCCTATTTCAACACACATCAGCCTAAATATTTATGTGGGTGTTTGTCCGAGACTCCGAGTTCCATACGATCTTCATACTTTAGAGAGTTAATCTCTAAGTTCATGTTTTAGCTTTTTATAGCCCTTTTCTTCATAATATTTCATGTGGTTAACCATCAATAGGCATTGAGTTCTACTACTACATCTACATTGTAGATTTTCAAGGTAATATATCTTTTGTTTTTAACTTTTTATCAAAGATACTGAAATTTAGTGGACTAAGATAGGAGTCATGTACTCTAAGTAAGTAAGTATATTTGTATTAGAAATAGAGCAAGGTAGAAGAAAGAAGTGAAATCATCTTATTGAAAAATAGGAAGTGTACAGAGTATTTATAGAAGCTATGGTTGTAACTAACTGCAGCTAATATAACAGAAGCCCAACTAATATTAATTACAAAGCAATGTACGTGTAGCTTCTATATACTATTCCTAACATTCCCCCCTCAAATTGAGGGTGATTGAACTGGAAAATCAATCACACTCAGTTTGTCTTTGAACTCAAGAAAGGTGGAAGCAGATAGAGGCTTAGTCAACACATCTGCAATTTGTTGGGAGGCTGGAATGTGAAAAACTTCAAGCTGTTTGAGATGAAATTTCTCTCTGACAAAGAAAAGATCAATTTCCATATGTTTTATGCGAGAATGTAGGACATGATTGTGAGCTAGCTGTACAGTGCTGAGATTGTCACAGTAAATTCTTGGAGTTTTAAAAGGGGCTTGAAGTTCTTTGAGTAAAAATTGAACCCATAAAAGTTCTGATGTAGTGTCTGCTAGGCTTCTGTATTCAGCTTCAGCTGAAGATCTTGCTACCCTCAGTTGTTTCCTAGACCACCAGGAGATAATATTAGAGCCTAGGAAAATGCATGACCCAGATGTAGATTTTCTGTCTGTAGGATATGATGCCCAGTCAGCATCACAGAAAGCTGAGATTGGTAGAGGTATTTTTGTCAAGGGAAGAGGTTTGATAATCAGTCCATGAGTAATAGTGCTAGATAGATATCTCAGTATATGTTTCACAGCTTTCCAGTGGTCTTGTAAAGGATTACTCATGAACTGACACACCTTATTTACAACATAGCTAAGTTCAGGTCTGGTTAGAGTAGCATACTGCAGAATTCCAACAACATATCTGTAATGAGAGGGATCAGGAAGAGGGTCACTTCCTTCATTGGTGAGCTTACAGGTACTCACCATAGGTGTTTTCACACCCTTAGAATCTGTCATTCCAACTTTGTGAAGAAGATCTCTGATGTATTTGGCTTGTGAGAGGTGCAGACAACCATTAGGGAGCTTTTTAACTTGGATTCCTAAAAAGAAATCAATATCTCCCAGGTGTTTTAGAGAAAAGGAACAGTGAAGGGTTTGAATGATTTGTTGGATAACTGTGGAATTGTTGCCAATGA